ACGTCTTGATGGTGCCGGTGGCTACGGTTTGTCTCGAAGAAAAGCCCGAAGACTAGATTGCTAAAGTAGATATTCCGTGACAGAAGTCTGTTGTTATGCAGCAGAATAAGACACACACACACGCTTGTGGTTAGATTGAGGCATAATTGATCCACCGCTTCCTAGTGTCATGTTGTCGTACACAGACCTTATGAACCATACGTCGCTACCAATAGGACTGAATATATGATCCATTACGCTGGCGTGTGTTGTGAAACAAAAAACAAACAAAGCTAAAACTGCTGTTAGATGAACGCAGGCCATAGTTGGCAGGGAGTCTAAGCACCTAATAATCAAGCATCCCAACACTCTTCCAATGGCTTCCTTCGACTTCATATGTTTCGGATGCAAAAAATCATTCATTACCAACCGCATTCAGCACTACGAAATAAATAAACAGTAGCATCGTACTTTTGATGAATGTATCCGGTTTATCTTTCGAAAAAGATGTGGTCAAGCAATTTGACCAACATACGAGTTTTGATACAAATATTCAAGATGGGATTTAATCCTCTCCTAGTATTCCTGCTATAAAGCAATCACTGGGACTCGCAGAATCGCTCACGTGCCGCTGCCAACACAAGCCATATTCTGGCTGTCTAGACGGAAACACTACAGGTCACATATTTTGTTAGGCTACTTGGCTTTGGTATTTCCTCGTTTTCCTTTTCGCTGAGAAGATGTCGTTTGCCAGTTCATCACATCAGCGAAGTATGTAAGCACTGATTCCACCTGTTTGCGGCATGTAAGTAAAATCTATTCAGCAGCATATGTGCAACAGCGAACAGAGAGTATAGGGTGTGAACTGTGCGTCATCCTACATTCGACCACTGCCAGTATCTTATAGGATGCAATCATTGCAGTACGGAATGTCACAACTTCTACTGACTTCTGTAGACCTATGGATGCCAATAGTGGATCGGATTTGTTAGCTGTGCTAGCATGGATGTTATACCTGTGCGGAAAAACGTATTCATACCATGTCATCGACACGATTTAGACCATATCAAATTCTTTTTGACACAGGATCCAACCCTAGCCACGAACGAATTTATAAATTCTTAACACCTGTAGCGACCTAATGGCACTCACACTGTGGAACAAACCCCATAACCGTAGTAGTCAACGCAAGCCATGCTTCAAGATTACCACCAAATTGAAGCAACTCAGGTCCCAATATCACAAAACAATAACAATACAACTTTACTGCAAAATTGGTGGAACTCTACTGCAAATAAAATGTCAGGCACTCAAGCGTAAATCATCGAAGAAAACAAAGCGCTAACAAATCCGCAAATGATATAAAACTTGGTAAAACTTCTCAGCTGGAAGGATCCAAAGCAGAACAATCAAATTCAAAGTCTGACATTAGAAGATGGCTCAACAACTGATGACGTTAGACAAATGTCCGAAGCATTGAACTCTTATTATGCAGCCACATTTAATACAGATATCAGTATTTTATATCTTCTTCTAAAACGGAAGACAGATGAAGAGCTCTCGAGTATTACTTTAAGGCTGAGTGATATTAGAACGAGTATACTCTCCATGAAACTGTCTTTCCAGTCAGGACTCGATGGTATTCCTCTAGCTGTCATCAACTATGGAGGCAAAAACATTCCTCTCCTGATGTTAAACGTCTACACATTATCCTTATACAGTGGATATTACCCCCCAAAGTGGGGAAAGTCGATAATAGCACCAAAGCGCAAAGGTGGCTCCTGATTTGAAATGACAAATTATCGTTCTATTAATCACACTGTGGCAGCCTCAAAGGCACTGGAGAAAATTGTCAAGAATGGTATTGTTCAATTCTTAACAGGATTAGACCATGGAATTCTCCGCTAAACAATCTCAAGGGCTTGGATATGGATGCTGCATACTTGATAGCTCCATCACCCTAGCAGATAAAAACATCCCAAACTCCTCCTCAGTTAGGGACCTTGGAGTAATATATTCCGCATCGTTGAATCGTTCCGAGCATGTCTCATGTCAAGTAGCCAAGGCAAGGCAATTGAAAAGCTGTATCACTAAATCCTTTTTCTACGTGAAGCGAGACTAGAAATGCTTAAGCTTATCGTGAAACCTAAAGCTGGAGTACAGTACAATCATCCATAGGCACCTGCGTAGAACGTATCGAATAATTTTAGAAAACAGTTAGCGTTCTTTCACGAAACTCGTTAACGGCTGGCCCACCACTCTGAACTATGACAACTGCTGTCGCCGCCTTAAACTAGACCCTTGTGGTTGCGCCACCTGAGAAATAATCTAGTTCTTTTTTACAACATTATACATTGCCGGGTGTACACGACGGAAATAGATCTTACCTTGCAAAATTCCTCACCCTATCCCGCAAGAAATAGGGATTACTCACTACCCTTAAAAAGGGGAACTTAAAGATCCGTTCCAACTTTTTTCTGGCAATGTATACTAAGATATGGACCAAGGTACCATTGAAACTACGGACAAGTGAGAACCTAACCAAATTAAAAATGCACTTGGGAGCTTTCCTCACCATGCAGAACATAATGAAAACATTCGGTCTTGAAGCGTCTACAGATGTGTTAACTTTATCAGATCCAAACAATATGTGACCTATAATGCAGGTTCCCCACATGCGTTCATACATTAAATTTTATGCTTCAAAATGCCACCTTTGAAGTCCCACTTGTAGATGGAGAAACAAAAAGTGTGTTTCTCGCTTTATCTGTCTTTGGTATATTGTAAATATTGTTACTGTGCTATGGCATCCGGATAATTTGTATCACCTAGTGCTTATTGAAATGGGAAACTAACTCATTAACAACGCTACACGTTATTCTAAACCGCTGCAATATTTTATCACTCCCAATCTTATGGCATCCATAATGTTACAAGACATGCTATTTGGCTACTTATTCCGTTGATATTTCTACCCCCTAATTTAGTTATTTCATCTTATTCTTCTGTTATTCTGTTGGTCACAAGTGAGCCAATAGCCTGAGGTGATGGTTTGAAGCTTCTAAGCAACATTTATACCAACGCCAAAAGACCCACTGGTGAATATAAAAAAGTGTGCAGAAATTAAAAAAACAGTCCGCTCTGAACTGCTGAACTCACACCTAATGACATATGATGCCAAACGGTGCTCCCGGTCATCATGCACGCAAAAAACTATGAGTGACGAAAAGGTGGACTATCTTGAGTAACTAGCTCACTAGAAAAAAGAATTGCTCAAATGAGGTGCTGGTGAAATCTCTCGAGGGACCACCCTCGGTGGACGGTTCCACGAATGACAGTATTACTACACTTGTCCTTTCTTGCCATACTTCCTTCTGCATTGAATCCGTTGTGCTCATGGATCCCAATTACTTCCTCTCTACCGTCCTAGTGTCTTACCGATATTTCCTATTAATTTATTCCTTAGATCATAGCCTCACTCTTAGTTGTAGTACATTTCCTCTATATCTCTACTCCAAGTATCGGATAACTATTGCACACTTTCCTAATCATCCTGTATTTAGCATCTTCTAGAAGACTACGAGCCACATAATAATTACTGTCTGCAGTGAATAGACGCTTTTTTCTTTGTCCAATTATCTGGCTAATTCACCATTTTCAACATTAACTTTACCGTGCATTGTCACACACACCCTAAATATCCAACTACAAGTGAAGCCTGAAAGGAATGTAAACGAGCTCACCCAGCATCTCAAACAACTGGCAGCCCAAAACATAACTTGATTACTTCAACTCCATAATTAGACCATGGAATGTCTAGACACAACGCTACACCTTAAATCCCTACGATGTGAGTACTGCCTATATTATTCTGACAAGGCAATTTGAGTTCGATGGTCCACTGGAGTTACTTTAATATAGTCTTTTCCTCATTTTCGAAACTCCTTACCTTGCTACTTACAAAAGCTCCTACTGTACTACTCCAGTCTATTAAGATTTTGTAGTACTCACCTGATTTTGACTGGTGAATCTAATTGTTTCATCCTTTTCAAACCCTCCCCCATCGAACCGGCGCCATCATGGCACCAACAAGGTGCACCGAAAACAACCAAATGCGAATGCCTGCGAACTGGTAGCATGCGGCGACAAAAGTCCCAAATGAAATATTCGCAAAAACATCCCTAATGTAATCCTGTAAAAACCCAAGTCATTGACAACCTCGCATGCCTGAGCATGTTGCAATGTAAATATGAACCGTCACTTTGTGAGCTCAGTTTCTCGGTTTCACGAGAAATATAACATTTTATTATTATATTATTATTATTATAAATGTCTAAAAATGTTAGAGGAGCAGTACCCATTTCAAGGTCGTTGCCGGCATCAAAAACCCAGCTATCAACACAATTAGTGGGTTGCTTCACTGCTCCGGGGATGCGAGGTTTGAGTTTCTGGTATCGATCCTGCTATCGGTCCTTGACTTAACGGCGCGAGCGACTCACGGCTGTCCCCCTCGTTTACTTGTCCGCATGACATGAACAGTCTGGAGAAGAGACCGACGTTGTCGATGTAGGCACAGAATAATTAGTGATAATTCAATTCCAACCGGTTAATCATACATGTCTAACAATGAAGTTGAATTTGGGGAACCCGCTGTGCGGTCGGGTTGCAGCACGCAACTCCTATTGTGACCTCGGTTCACTTTGAGGTAAACCTCGGTCACTCCGATCGCTAGGACCGTATCCGAAATGGAAATCTTTGGGTGTTGCTGATCCCAACAACATGCATAACAACTAACATTTCAAACATATCTAAATCCAACCCCTAGTTCCAGTAACTAGTCTTTGCAGAAAACTAATTCTCTGAGTACAATACAGAGTCTTCGTAACCGGGACGAATGTAGATAGGAGAGTTGCGTCTTCAATAAAGGTAAACTATAGCTAAGTTTGGATTATAGAATGTGGTAAAAAGGTTGTGACCAAAATAAGCTCCAAGTCTCAAATTGCAGTAGAATCTTCACTTACTCAGCACGAGTACAACTTGGATACTGACGAGGTACACGCAGGAGACACCAGCCCCTCGCATTTGTCTGTTTTTGGAAACCACTAATTGAAAACTACCTATGTGTGTGAAAGCGGAGACATTCGGCCCACATTCTCTCCCATGCAAATGTCGATTGTTCACACGGTTAGCGTAACTCACGCGCGCAGAGAAAGTTAGTTTGTGTTGCGTTGCATGGTTGCCATGACCACCGGCATCGCTACTACCGCTATTGTTAACGCGCTGGAGTTGCGGGTAAAATTGTGCAAATTTACAGATGAAAAGACCAGTCAACTGGAGTCGTTTAATGGAAACGCATAGCGTAAGACTTCAGATATTCAAGAGCATCTTTTAATAATTTAACCGGATCAATTTCGCTTACCACATAGCAACCATTCCCTGTCTCATCAACGGTTAACAAACAAGTATAGCATAACACTGAGCAAAGGAGAATAACACGCCTCTTTACACAGGTACTTTACAATTGCTTTTCCGACATTTACTGTGGTTTGTTGGATAAGGGCAACCAGACGTTTCATCAAGTGAAGTGTGCGCATCCCAGCCTCCACAATTTTGAGTACCAGGTTAGTACTTCGAAACTGATTATAATCTGTAACCGTCTGGAGAATGGTTCGCTAAAAATAAGTACCGGTCGACTAATACATCCAAACTATGATTTCGCTCGTATCACATTCCTTGGCGTTATTATATAGGATGAGCACTTTCTGTATTCTAATTTCGCGTCAGGAATCATTCTCATCATTAGAAGTTGTGTGCGGGACCACGGCTTTAATGTTGCCCGGATACACACGGCAATCTGCTTAAAGTGGATCTTTCACTAAATATTAAGAGATCTGCTGCAGATGATTTTAAATTTAACGACAGATGCGACATAACACTGGGTGCTGTTATGTATTAAAGTCAGAACCGTTACGGTTACAAATAATAAGGCTTAACCAGATTTCGCTCCACCCAACTTTCGGTTTTAGTTTCACAGCTAATGATAGGTTTCCGTCTCAGATAGTTTTATGTGATGCAAATAAACGAAAGGAAATCGTGCATCATGGACCAATTCCAAACTCTAGAAAAAGCTTGAAAAAAGTACATTCGTCTTAGTGGAACAACTTGTCTCAGGAAATCGAAGTTAGTGGTGCCCCCCGTTCATGTAGAACGCAGCTGGATGTTCTTAACTTCGCTGTACTACCTGGTCTTACAAGGACCACTGACTGTTTATGTGGAAAAGGTCCTGGTCTTCTACGAAACGACGTGTGCAAGTGATGGTAACTACTCTCGGTTGATTAAACTTTTTCGTTCATGTCTTTATTTCTTAGCCTCAGTTTCATTCCCCATACTATATCTTCCCTAGCTAGATAGCTAACGATGCGTTCATAAAGTGTTCACTATAACAGTGTTGAAAGTAGCTGTAACCATTTTGCTTTATGTGGTTGAGAGAAGCGGCCTACCATGATCATATGGTAACCGGCACCTCGGCAAATAGAGCACAAGAGTGCTTTTACTCCTTCTTCCACTATTACTTTCTTCCCCCGATTCGAATTTTACCCAACGTAACAAATAGCGACTTGTGAGTGGCGGGTGCATGTACCAGCAGTTCCGAAGATCATGACCCTGCTGCTAATAAATTTACTCACAGGCGACTTACCATGTGCCTATGGAAACGTCGCCAGCCTAATAGCTTGGATAGATGAGCGTCATGCTACTAATTTCCGTCCTAATACTCTTCCCCTGATCGTAACGTTTAATAAAACCAGTGTCAGGAAATGCACAGTTTAGCCGTAGAAATATCAGTAATGCCGCTGTCTAGCTTAAATTTCTGTTGGGTTCATTTCACCATTAATCTGCACCACACTTATCTCCTTCGATTATAATACATTATTTATCGGTTCTACCGTCGTTCCCATAATCATGCTCAGTAGTATAGGATGCCGCGGCACACAAGTATAACTAGCTTATACTCTGGTTAGTAATCTGCTACATTTTTAGTTTTCTCGCATTTTGTCACTGCCAATGAGTTTAGAGTGTTTACCAGCCAAGTGTAGCCTTCAGTTAAACTTGTCTTAAAATCAAACGTGAAGTGTGGAAGCCCGGGTTTACCCATGGTTAGATCCACGTGTTTTAGAACAATTTTACCAAACCACACACCTTTTATTGACCAATTTTCTTCATTCAGTCGTTATGCTTTCTCTTCAGCTGAGTCTCTCCTGAACACCCAAGAGTGAAACCCCTGGCTCAAGGCGTTTAACATGTTGGGGAATGGCTACGCGAATCGCAGATGATTGCGACAGCTTAATATCACTAAGTGACGTGTCAACTGTACTAAGTGTACTTTATACAAACGTGATTACTGATTACTGGTTGGAAGCAGCAAGTAGAGTTTGCTCTGTGTAGCTGCATCTAATGTCACTGAGGGACAAAGACCCGTTGTGTTTTGTTGCGCCCAATATATCTAGCGTCGGCAAAGTGTTTGTCCAGGAACTTCTTAAATTCCGACACCGACTTTGCCTCAACTACGTGCTGCGGCAGGTCATTCCATACATTCACCACTCTGCGGTCGAAACAGAGTTGGTGAGCGACCCGCTTCAAATCCGGTACGACAAGCTTGTACCGGTGTCCTCGTGTGCTGCTTGGTGTGCGCAGATGAAGCAGCGGTCTCAAAATGGGGTAATCTCCCAGATGTAATATCCGGTGCTTCATGAGGAGGTCAACCCGCATTCGACGATAAGCTAGGGTGTACAGCCCTAGTTTCTTACACTGGTTGGGAATCAGCCTGGTGGCTGCATGCTCCACTTGCTCAATCTTTTCTACCTCGCCCCGGGTGATAGGACAATACGCGGGAAAGCCATACTCTAGCATTGGTCGTATTATTGCGACGAAGAGGCAGGTGGCAATCTCTTCGGACCAAGTGCTGAAGCTGCGCCTGAGCGCCCAAAACATACTAAGGCTGTTTGGTAAATCCTATTCGTGTTGTCCATGGACTTTAGGTCGTAGCGTAAGAGTACGCCGAGATAGCGCATGAAAGGCGCGGGATGCAACGGTTGACCAGCCACCGTGTAGCTCCCACTGTGCTCACACTTACTCAGCCTCATGAATTGCGACATGACCGGGTTGATCGGAAGGTTGATCTCTGCAGACAACGTTGAGAGGCGGTCGAGGTTCTGCTGATACGGGTCGCAAACATTGGTTGTGTGGATTACTCTTCACAGCTTCAAGTCATCTGCGAACAACACACAGAGTGATTGGAGTAGCTGAAGCACATCGTTTACTTGGATGAGAAATAAAGTCGGCCCCAGTACAGTGCCGTGGGGTACGCCAGTGCTCGATGGATACCAGTCGGTTAAATGGTTGTTCAGGTGGACCCTCCACTTCCGATCAACAAGGAAATTCCTGATCCGTTGCTGCAGCGTGCCACTAAGACCGCACACACAGCCTGTCGAGGACACTGCATGATTTACCTTGGCAAAAGCCTCACTGAAGTCAATGTAAATGACGTCGACCGATTTGCCTTGATTCAGTAAGACCTGGTGTATCACCACTCTGTCGTAGACTCTCAGAAATTCCAGAGATATATCTACTATTATTAGTATTTATATTATTATTATTACTGATGACGCTAACTGATCCGTACTAAATGGCAAATGTTGGTAATAAGAAGCTAACTGCTGCAAATCAGTGTTTGTGGCTGCTTCATTTTATCCAAGGTAGTGATTGCAGGGGACAGCTATCGAAAGAAATTGATGACTGTTAGTCCCAGAAGTCAGTCAGCTTGAACTTTGGACGAGATATTTTAGGGGGGAATTCGGCCAACCAGTTTGGACAGATCAGTTGCCACGATCGCGAAGGTTGGCGCCGTGTCCATGTCCAGCACATCCAACTTGAACTGATCCTCCCATATAAGAATAGGGCAGCATACTTCTTATACCACTCAGTATCAGTGCTAAGAAAGGTGGAATATCGATCGTGTTCATTCTAGTCTCCTCCTATCAAGCGAAACACGGGGTACGAAGTGCCTTCAGACTAGCGGTCTTCATATAGATACCACACCCATTAAAGAGCCTATCAACGCAGCTTGCTAGCAACAGCACATTGGCCCCACCACAATGTCCACACACTCCTTCCGGACATTCTGGCCCACACTACATTAGCAAGTAAAAGTAACATAGACAAAAGGCGTAAGGTGAAAACCGCTAACCGTTTATTTATTTTTTCTCAGGGGTTCACGTATCATTGCCGGTCAAAAGGTGCACCCTGTCCGTTAGCATTAACTTAGCATTTACTCTAACATCTCAACTCAGGAGCTCCGAACGAAATGGCCATAAGTAAGGTTGAAGCACGTAATGTTCCTTCTAATTCGAAATAAAAAATATCAGAAGACCAAGGTTGTGAGATGACACCAACGTTACGAACATTCTCGTCGGCCACATACATGAAATTACACGGGAACCAAAATAGGGTAATGTGGAATCGATCGGTGGTCAACTGTTTTGCGTTTGGTGCGTAACTCGCTACCACTGCAAGCTTAGTGTCACCGTTAGCTGTTTTGAACACAGTGGCGGACACTGTCTCGAGGACCGTGAGAACATGAGGACTGTGACTACGCAGAAGGACTGTGAATGACTCATCCGGGTTCACCTGGGGACCGCTCCTCGTCAAATGCCTCGTAATGACTGAGGCAACCTTGTTGCTCGATTCACCTGGCGCAACCATCGCGTGTCCACTAATTCGAACATCGAGATTTCAGTCAGTGCGCCTAACATATGTCTAAACAGCCACATGTGAATCTGTGTATGCAATGAGACCTGCACTGCTTCGGCACTCTTGTCTTCAATGAACACTTAAGTAGGGTTTTCGTGGTCACGAGCAAGCGTAGCTCTGCTGTATTGTATGTATTTTTCTTTGAGGCATTCATTCGTTTCTCGGTGACTTTCATAGCCGTAATGGCAACCGGCTTCTTTTGAATCAGTATCACTTGTTCTTGTTTCACAGTGTCATTGAGATGCTTTATGAATTGGAGTTGATAATCATTCGATTTTAGCAAGTGAAACAGCAGTACTTTCTTTTGAAGTACTGGGTTCCCTGTATCCATCTAAATAATACAATGAGAAGACGGGAGTTGCACGGTGAAATTATTTCGCGCTTTCTGATCACATGCAAACGAGCGACATTTAATGATCACCAAAGGGGAAATCAATGATTTAATTGGTGATTTTAGTGCATCTGGTGTTGAGCATCGCAGCATTAACGCGCAGCCTCTAGCTTTCACATACGGTAAAACATATTACCGACTCTCAGATGTTCATATCTAAATTTTAACTGTGCTAAGGCAGGTACTCTCATTACGTGACCATAGCTCTGCAGAGGTTGACAACATTCGCCTGAAAGCACTGAAGTTTGAGGCTACCATGCTAGCCGAGCCACCGTCACATTTCTTCTAAAGATGCTTTGACCAATAGTAAGTTCCCACTAGGCGGAAGCATGACATTATTACCGCAATTTTAAAGGCATTAGCTGTTCATATCATATCCATCTGGCGCGAAGCTGATGGAAGCTGTCGTCTCTCAGGCTCTGATAGACTAGCTGGAAAACTGCAACAGCCTGGCGCCGGATCAGCATGGCTTCTATTAACATGCACCACCAACCTGCCGACTGAACGAGGTAGTCGGACCGAAGTGCTTGTTGTTGACATCAGAGTAGACGTCATCTATGTGGACCTTTCCAAAGCTTTTGACCGCCTGGATCATTGGCTACAGAGCTACGGAATCTTGGGTCCTGTTCTTGGTTGGATTAGCAACTTTCTTCAAAAACGGAAGGCTTAAGTGCCTGTTAGGAATCCCTCTCTAACCCGTTTGAGGTGGAATCTGGTGTCCCACAGGACTCGGTGCTGAGACCACGCCTATTCCCGATGTTTATCCATGAACTGACATGAGTTATCGTCTCCAATTTCCTTCTTTTCGCCGATGATCTGATGATATTGTGCGCGAAAAATAACGATGCAAATCATGATCTACTCCAACGTGACCTAGATTGTATTTATAGATGACAACGAGGAACCTGCTTCAGTTGAAGATAGCTAAGTACAAAGTGATCCATCTGTATCACCAGCCGGTAAGTGTTTACGAGCTTGGTGACCACACCTTGCAGAAGACCTGGGTGTACTGGCACAAGAAGATCCCCCATGCTAAAAACAAGCGGACAAGGCGTTGAGAACCAACAATCAAAACTTCGACCTGCTTCGCAGAGCCTTCGGTCGGTTTGACCCTTCAATCTTCCCACAAATGTTTAGCGCCTAGGTGCGATCGCACGTGCAGAGCGTCATACAAGCGTGGCAGACGTGGCGGGAACAGCATCTAGTTGTTCTTGGGATTCCTCAACTAAGCGCAATCAAGAACGTTGGAGGTATCATCTATCTGCCCTATCAGCATAGATTGAAGTCTCTAGGAATGTAAAACAGTCTTTATCGGCGTTTGCGGGGGACCTCATGATGTTTCACCAGATTCTGATGAACAAAACCCACATTTTCCGCCTATTGCTGGAACTGAACCACAGCACTAACCTAATAGGTCACTCTCTGAAACTGACAATACAGTTCAGCCGGCTGGAATGCCTTTGAAATCTCTTTTCCCTCCGAGTATGTCGGCCGTGGGACTAGCTTGCAAATTCTGTCGTCATTGTCCACAGTCTAACGATATTTAAAAAACAACTTTTCGAAGATTTGTCCCAGTGCGATTTAATTTTATAACTTATGTTAATGAGAGGCTACAAAATGAAACTAAGCCGTGGGTTTCCAAAATTCAAACCAACGAGTTGCTGAATTTATACGTTTATCATGCGACCATCCCCGCTCATCTACACATGCCTATGGTGAGTCTACAAAAACGCTTTTCACTTTATCGTAGTTTTATTTTCTCAATAATTTCTACGCTGCGGGATTTGGTAAGCCGTGCTTTTTCATAAGTGATACTCCAGTGTTCAATTATTCCGTATAAGGAAGTTCTAACTAAGATGATTTTGTGATGTATCGGCGAGAAGCTATCAAAAGATAAATATCGCCCCGTCCAGGTCACTTTCCGTTAGACTGAACTTTGGATTGAATCACTTGGTCGTCGTGTGAGCACTATGTCTAAACATAGGAGACAGTTATCTTGTTCCGTTTCACAAGTCACACTAAGATCCTGACGAACACTATTGAACGTTTTGGTTACAAATACAATGTCTTTATCTAAATCAACGGCTAATAGTATATCGTCAACATAGCGTCTATATAAGTGGCTGATTTGCTGATGTATGCTCTCTCTTCAATCATACCTATGAATACGTCCGCCAGCGAGGAACCAAACGGGCTGTCCTTAGACACCATCGATCTGTCGATTTGCATTTCTTTGAAACCAAAACAGTTGACCAGCCATCTATTTCAGGTTCCCTTAATTCGGTTCCTTTGTTATTTGTACGTACGTAGCTAAGGAGAATGCACAAAATGAAAGTGTTATCACACAACGTTCGTCTTCCGGTAAGTAAAGTTGTTTCAACATGTGTTATCCTGTCCACAGATTTGTTGCTGTCAGAGCGGTCCACGTATGTGGCTGGTGTTCCTTTTTAAACTAAAAAATAAGAAGTTTAGTCACGACGAAAGCAAAAAAATAACCATTATGCGGATACGGTTTTTAGATTTTTTGGACATAAATGATTTGTTAGGCCGGGGTCAATTACAGGCCGATGATAAAGGGTAAAGAAATTGATTTTAAGAGGAATGAAGATTTGTACATGCGCTGGTCAACTTCATCGAACAGGTAGTTAGTCGCCGAGTTTTCTAGCACAATTGAACGCACATAGGAAGCACACGCGAAGCAAGAAACTATTCAAAAATGTATGACAGTTACTGTGATCTACTTGAGTCAATCTGTCAACTACCCATTCATCTGCCGCAAAACACGCTCGTCGGGCCACCCTTATGATGCTCGCAGTACGCTGACAAGAGGGATAGGTAAGTCCAAGTTCGCCTCGTCCAATGGCGAATTTTGTAACTGCATACTCAGTCACCTATTTGGCCAATGTTCCTCACCCATCCATTCCGTGTGTCGTCATGCACGTACACACCCAGAGAGTAAACAAAGCAGAAGAGAGTGGGTTTGGCACTACAAAGAATCAGCCCACTAACGGATACGATATAGTGATGGTGAATTCAGCCGGGAACTAGTTCTGAAAACTGAGAGCAGGAGTTGCGTAGGCGACGAATGAAGTGGTACTAACGCATCTGCATATATTGGTGTCGTAATTCCGGAGCTTGCCTACTACTTGACAGCTTAAATGGCTGGTTCTCGAAGAGGTTTGGTGGCGCCTCAGAACACATTCCTGGAAACTGCCCTCAGACGATTCAGTACACCACGTGAGTATTGTGTTCCATTGGTACTGTGGTTTTGCTGCAAGCATTCATGTACATGCGATTTCATTCGCTACCGTTACTTTGCACTGTGCGTAAATAGAGCTGATTTTCTGTGGGCTGGCTGATACACGAGAACTACGTTAGATCTCCCTACAAAGAAGTTTTACTTCCATGAATGGTGTACGTTTGGTTTAAACCATTTCTATGAGTCGAACAGTCTACTATTTTGCATGAAACCACATCCGATAGAAAGGGGTTTTTATGTACACCAAGACAAGTGATTAATTCGGCCGTAAACAGAAATCCCTAGACAATTTGTGCAACGCCATTTTGCGCTTTTGATTTTACGCCTTGCATGTGACTAGCGGTTTCTTTATAGGACTATACTCCGGCTAAAATTTGAACAAAGCACTTTGTGGCTGCTGCCCTAGACCATCAAGCAATGGGATTAATTTTCCAAGCAAACGGTGCTAATGAATTTCCAAGTGTATGCACAAAATGGCGGACAGGTGCTAAGTGAGAGAACAATTTGTAAATAATTAAATCGTAATTCTCCACGTTAAAATCTCCTTGGCAATTATCCTTCCGCACAACTGAAATCCAGTTAGAAGTATAACAGGGGTCTTAATGGGATTATATTATCTAATCAGCAAAAGAGGATACTGCCAAACGTAGTTTTGAATTCCTAACCGATTTGTCAAGCGCTGTTAACAGATCTCGGCGACTTAGTGATCAAATTTTCTGGTGTCGTGTTTCGCGTCCCAGGTGCCATTTCTAGCTCCAACCCGTTATCCCAATCTGCAGGTTCAGAACAGGGGCGAAAGCGGTTGTGCACCACACTTCAGGGTAAAGTTAACACAGCAAACTCCATCCTTCGGATACCATCGAAATAAACGGCGCCCTCTAGGAGTTACTAAAAAATATATCACAGTCTTAAATTTATTTACGTCAGTTAATCAGTAACATGCACGTTATTCTATCCCAGATGCGCATGCGCTGAAGTAGCTATCATCTAATGCAAAGTTTCGTAAGAAACTTAGCAAATATAACCCGAAAAGGCTAGCCGTTTGTTGTCAAATGTGTATTGCAGACCACGTGCACATATAGCGCATTATGAAAACGTAATGCAGTTGAGTTAGCACATTGACCAGAAAGCGTACCCACACATTTTGCTTCATTATCTGTCGACCTGCTTGCTATTAGAGTAAAACCAACGTGGCGGTCGTTTCCGTTCGCGCACACCAACTGGGAGCAAGTGGATCGATCGCACATAGACCACATCGGGAATACGCCGGGATCCACGAGGTATATGTCTACGGTCAGGCTGTGGGCAATCGATGATGATGATGACGATTTCATGTTTAGTTGATCGTTTGCGCTCATGAGCAGCGCAATCGCTTTGGTGGACGCCTTCATGTGTGAAATATGTTTCCCTACCCGCATCTTTAGTTGCCCCATGATTCTCGCTGCAGCTGACGCTCCGTCATGTCCACCTTGTCTAACTTATAACTATTCGTAGTTCGATTGTCTTACTAACGTCTGAATAACGGCGAAGGGGGTCATGGGATGCCGCTTTTACATCAGAACGGAATGCGTCACGGTGCATGGGTGTGTAAATGTGGGCTCCAAGCACTGCCGAAAGAATTAACCCAAGTCGTATGAATTACACGTCAGTTAATAAATTGCTTCAAGAGTTGGTGCGGGACACTTACTCCGCTGCCTTCTGCTTGTTAAGCTAGGTACTGAAGAAAGTTGGGTACCGTTTTCAGCAAAGATGTTCTTAAGTAGCTGAACATTTTTTCTAGTCTTCCTGGGGTGCAAAATACTTACCCTTTCAAACGCAGTCCCACCAAATTTGGTTTGCTGCAATTAAGGACAAAGGCACCTAGGTTTTCACTAAACTTATATTAACACTGATCCAGCAAAGCTACGTTTGAACAGCACGTCAGATAACCTACCAACAATGCGCTCCGACTGAGTTGTAACCATTACGTGTAATGCAGGACATTTAGTCAGGTGGTCAGCTTAGTCAGTTGATCTTCCAAGTCACAGACGAGTGAGATGTCGCCCGTGTTTATGCGGGACACCATCATCATCATCATCATCATCGTCATCATCATCATCAATACCCGTTAGTTGAAGGGGAGAGACACACCTCAGCTAATGTGCCACATGTGGGACAGCAAGGATTCGTGAATGTACACCGGACTTGGTTTTCGACGATAACAGTGAAAATATACGCTGAAACTGGTCCGAGTGAACCACAACACCAGTCGACACCGTTCCTTTGAAACCAGGACAATATATTAGGTGTTTATTGAAAGCAACATCCCGCTAGTATAGAAGCTGCAACTGCTAGTTCTGACTGGCGATCACTTGGTTGCATACCCTGTGGATGAGCAGCACAGCGTGACTACAGACTTTCTGCTCAGCTGGACATTATCCACCGTTCCGTTTATCCGAACTGGTCCCAGTGTGTTTACTAATCGTTTACTAAGCTTGAGTTTTGGAGAATCAACTAAGGATAATATTGGAAGCGTCTGGGTCTCAGAGATTTTGCAGTCACGAATTTAGCCACAAGTGTAGTCCCAAATACCGTGTTTACGCTGTTCTTCGATTCTGATTGGGTCTGTGGCTCACCCACAATATGGGCGAGTTAAAGGTTAAATCTCTAGTTGATTTGTGGACATATACTTAGCATAGGAGGCAACAGTATGCTAGCCGTTACTATTTGGTTAGACAGTACTGTGCCAATGGGATAAGCTTAGTGTCGTCGGAAATTAAGACAGTCATTTTACCGTTGTCAGTTCATTGGCAGTCATTGCAGTGAAGCTCGAATATTACGTTCCTTCGTGCTTAAGTAAAAGGCAGATTTCGAGCAACGTAACTGTTTATGAAAAATGGGTTTGTTATTTCTGTCTAGGGGTGAAGACTCTGAAGGAAAAACTGTTTCTGGGGCACCGAAGTATAGAGGATACGGGGAATACGATATTCGCCCGAACACCATCGTTTAATAAACAAAGTTGGCAGTTAACATGCAGATGGAATCATGGAAACTCTACCTTTCTCTTCTAGAGTAGTATACATTCTAGGAAATGGCCTCTATTGAGTAGGATCATTGAGATGTCTTGCTCAATCAATTACACTAGGTATTTGAAGCCCCAGTGATACGGCTGGAGCACTGTCCTGTGCACGTGGACATATAGGCGAATTCACAAATGGAACAATGGTATAATACGTACAAAAAAGCCATGGTTTGATAAGTCCCGTGGATTGGTTTGTGGGAATAACGTTAGTACAAATTAGTTACACAAAAGCGAAAAGCACATAGGATGACTCACAATATTATCCACGTTGACACATAGGTATATCCGTCTAACCCGATTTTGTGGCGTTGGTGAGCACAATGTTTGTCTGCGTCTTGTCATCACCCAACGAACTGAAATCACCTCAAATAATGTAAATGATGTAAAGCATCGTCGAGTCGTTTTAAAAAAAGGAGTAACGTAAGTGCTGAAAGGAAAAAAGTCGAAAGAGCGTTCCACCATTAGCAAAGTCGAAGGGAAATGTAATTTCGGCGGCACTCAGGCCGACTGTTTTGGGTGGCAAGTTTCAATTTATGACCCCTTAATTCTGTGTTGCAGCTAAGCTTCAGTTGTTGGCAGCAAGCGTGACCGGGGTTTTCACAATCTGGAACGCCAGGAGGAGGTCACCTCGTAGACGGCGATATCTTCTGCTGTACCCTCCCAAGGCTTTCGGTCGTGTATGAGATTGCAGATGAAACAAATCCTTCACATTTTTGTTTGCCCTTCGTACTGCGGTCTCCAGTGAAACCAGGTCGCGTTTTAACCGGGGTTGCCAAACCTGAATGGCGTACTGTACATGGGACCTCACATACCCATTGAACATTTGGGGGAAGATGGACGGATCGGACCTCTCGAACGCCCTCCGTAACAGACCAACATGTTGGTTCGCAGTTTTGGATGACTTCAAGGACTGCGCCGAACAGCCAAAGTCACCTTGGATCATGGCCCCAAGGTGTCGCTCTTATGAGGCCGTGTTCAGCATATCGTCTCCAAGCTTATATGCACAAGTGGGCTGGTAGCGGACATGCGCGGTTTTGCACTTTCGGTATCAAACTGAAGTAGATTTAGCTTTGACCATTCTAAAGCGCAGTCTAAGTCTCGTTGCAACATATCGTGATCTTCACGACAGGCGATTGCCCTCCATATCTTGACGTCATCCACAAAAAGCAAGAAATTCGACTTGATGACATTCGTAAGGTCGGTACTGAAGAACAAGAATAATCGCGGCCCCAAGACCGAACCTTGTGGAACATTGCAGTCCATACCAATTGAATCAGAAAACGAACCTCGAACTCGAACCTGAAGGCGCGGCTGAAAGAGGAAGTTTTCGATCCATCCAAGGACAGGGTTTCCAATTCCGTATGCTTGCAGCTTTTGGAGAATGATGCGGTGATCTATGCGGTCGAATGCTTTGGAGAGAAGTCTAGATAGATTACATCAATATCGGTCGCACTATCGGCTATCTCGGTCCAACTGCCACGGGCAAGCAGTAGGTTGGTAGTACATGACCGATGCTGACGGAATCCGTGTTGCTCCGGTGCTATGATGTTAGACCTTTCGAAGTAGCCCATTACAGCCTCAGCTATGATCGATTCCATCACCTTAGAGAGCACCGGGAGGAGAGTCACTGGGCGATAGTTGGCTGGCTCTGAACGGCTACCACTTTTGAAAATCGGGGTAATGATGCCTTGCTTCCACATGTTAGGGACCTGCTGTTCGTCCAGGCATCTTTGGAAAAATCTCGTTAATGGTTCAGCTATCCTCGTAGCTGCCACCTGCAGTGCTTTCGGGGAATGTTGTCAACTCCGGGGGAACTATGGGTGCGCAACGATAGCAGCTTCCTCAAAATGGTCGCTGAACTAAACGTGACGTGTGTAAAGACTGGCATCTGGGAGAATGGGACAGGTATGTTACAAA